TAAGCGTTGTGAACAGTTTCTTCAAAAATGTACATAATAAGTGCATATGATAATATATTTTAAAGCTGTTGAAAAAGGTTATAAATGGAATTGAAACGCGTTGTTGCAGTAATAAAGAATAAAGAACGAATTATTTCCTCAAGTAATCTAGGAAAAAAGAGTTTTCGTTTTCTTGTTAAGAACCATTTGCTTGCGTAGAAAAATTTTTCTCTCTAATCCTGTCATTCGGATAAAAAGGCTTCTTTAGATGCAAAGGTCTATATGTGAATGTAACACTCCCTTCAGTGCACTTTACCGAATTAATTTTAAATCTCTAACATCGTGTTGCTAGGGGAATTCCATTTGAAGTCGATAAAAACTGCAGGATAAAGTATATGTATATACACGGTATTAGCTGATTCATTATCGTATAAATCATATTCCTATAGCTTCCATTATATCAAGCGCCATAGCCTATATTCACTGTGATGTATATCACCTGACAATTAATTATCTCAAATGGATTCTAAGATATATACTCATTTTGGGCGACTAATTATAAGATAACTGAAGCGAATATTGAAAAATAACCACAGATGTGTCATCTAGTAGAGATGTCCATCGCGGTTAGTAATCAGCCGCTGCCGCGCCGCTAAGGTTTCCAAAAAACTGATGCCGCACCGCTACCGCGACGCAGACGTTTCCAAAATTTGGCACCGCGCCGCTGCCGCGACGCGGATGTTCTTAAAAAATCGGTGCCGCGCCGCGATGGGAAGCAACTTAGATGGCTGCTCTCCATTTGCATAACTAATATTTAAGATTAGAATCTGGCACCGGACAAGCAGCAATAATTTTTGTCATGATAAATCGTGTTAAATTACAAGGGTGGTTGGGAAAATCAATTAGAAAAGTTATTGAAAAACCAAAACAATTTCCAGTTTGGAACAATAGAAGCGATAAAACTTCTCTACTAGCAAAATATGTGACTGAGAATGATATTAGCTATAAACGAATCGGACAAATTATAGATGAAATTAAGCTTGGAAAGAGGCAAGACAACACATATGGTTCAACTCATTATCATACAAAGAATGTCCATCCCAATTGGTCAAAATATAAAACACCAACAGTGACGATTGACAACGTTATGTAGCAAGGAAAAAACACGCATAAAACCAATAAAGATTAAGAATCAGTAACAGCATTATGAGAGAAAATCATTCAATTTCTAATACATATTCACAAAACTTATATAAAATTCTTGCCATCGATGCATATTTCTCTATTATCTGGTATATGTTTTTTCAACTCCTTTATCGTTATTATTGTAGATGATTATAAAATATATAAGATATTTTCAAAAACATTACTTCATGCAACTTCACTTCTTTTTTGCTACTAAATAGAAATGCTGTGTGTACAATTTATTCGATGATAAAAAGATAGGATTATTCAGTGAGTCCACCAGGTTGACGCTAACGAGCTGGACGGCATCACCGTTACTGCAGAAAGCAGTTGATTTCTGACTATTGGAGAGAAAAGAACATAGATTCGCTGATTGTTATAAAACGTGAAAATTTTTCTTGCTGAATGGACCGACATTACCACTTTAACTTATAACAACTATACATGTTTTTCTATAAAACATAATTTTTGAAACCAATTATCTTCAGCTCGACTTAAGTAAGAAAAGTCTTTTTTACACAAATAAAATACCAGTCCCTTGCACAGTAGACAGCCAGGTATAAATCGTGTACAAATTTTATTCCAATAGAGTACAACTATACAAGATTGTTGATAAACTCTTAATCAGTTTTTTGTAAGCTTGTCAAAATGTATCAGGTAGATTGAAGATTAAGAGAGTGTTTCGAAATATATTGCGGTCGGTAAAATATATCCTGGGTAAAACTCCAATTTTAGTTTTCACTGGTCAAAACTTGAATTCAAAATTATAATTTGAGTTTTGCGTGTATTCCGTTCATTAGGACGGTGTAGGTACGATATGATGTATCTTAGAACTGTCGTATTTTGTAATTTCATAAATATATAACGTACAGAGTCATTTTTTCAAACAGATCACTCGTTCTCTTCTAATTATTTGATATTCAACTCTCATCTCCTGGACTATATCGAAGTAAGAAATTGAAATTCATACAGCCTACAGTCAGTAAAATACAAGCTGTTCGCTTCCATTGAACGAATTTAAATCGATTTTAGACGACTTCACTAGCGACAGAATAACTTTTCGAGTTATAGTAATCCGATGACATTAATTGTCAAACTTTTCTTATTTCGATATTGTCCAAGAGCCGAGAGTTAAATATCAAATAATTAGAAAAGAAAGAGTGATCTGACTGAAAAAATGACTCTGTACGTTATATATTTATGAAATTACAAAATATGACAGTTCTAAGATACATCATATCGTACCTACACCATCCTAATGAACGGAATACAGGCAAAACTCAAATTATAATTTTGAATTCAAGTTTTTTGATCAGTGAAAACTAAAATTGGAGTTTTACTCAGGCAAACTTAGCATCGGCAGCATCGCTTTTCAATCCTTTCCTTGTCATACTCAGCCTTGGCATGATCAATTATATATGAAAACAGCATAATAGCACCGAACAATGTATAGTATAGAAGCTTCTAACTGAAAAAGTTTTGAGCAAAATTTCTATTCTTGGTCTCGAAAGCGATTTTCAGAGAAAGAGTTTCTTAAAAAAAGAGTTTTTATTTCTGAGGTTTTTACATCTAAAAGACAAGGTATCCATTACACGAACGTTTATGCCCACAAAAATGCTAATGTCTACATCAGTGAAAATTTCGCCTCTTTTTCATTTTTAAGAGACTTATATATTATTTTTTTGTTGTCTTAGTATTGGTTCCACCATGTTTTATCCGGCTTTCTCTCAAGAATATGATGAAATCATTCACTTCACGTTAAAAAATCGTAATTACTTCATTTGGGGTAATTATGATCAGCACAGCCAAAATGGCTGGAATGAAGTACTAATTAATGCTAATGAATTTTAAGCTAATTTTTACATCGATCGATATATAAGACTCAACTCCACTTTCCTGTAAAAAATATCCCTTTTTTTTGGTGAAAAATAGCTGCAGAGCTTACCCTAGGCTACTCTGCATCTTAGATATATGTATATCTCTATTCGAATGCTAGAGCCCTATTCCTTTCTTTTCTACTAATCGACAAGAAAAAACAAAAAAAAATCGAAAGAATTTATCTTGTACTTCACGTGTAACATGTAGCATAAGAAGTTGAAATAAAAAGCTAACTTTCTTAGTGCCTAACAGATTCTTTTCAAACCGTGTGATCAAACTTTTTATTTGAACTAAGTTTATCGAATGCAGACACTTCGTTTCGTCAAAATATAGTTTTATTGATATTTGCCATAGATGTCTCTCATTTGTACGTGACGTTGCTAGTAACGCTGATGACATTGAATTTAGTAGGAAATCGATAGATTTTAGTATAATCAAGTATTGTTTCATATATTGTAAATTTCATTATGCTGACTGCTTGCGAATTTCTTCAAAAATTCGCGTAGGCGTCATATAACTAAGGAACGCTAACAATTAATGACAGATTCCACTTTATTCCTAGTACCATTTTCCCAGCACTCATAACTCAAGTGTGTCATAAAGATAATAAAAGTCTCTTAGAAATGAAAAGAACCGATCATCAGTAGTTCATCTGACCCGCTAATTTATTCAAAAAACCTCAAAAAAATAATGACATCTGCGTTACTAGTAACGCTCGTATAAAAATTTGTATTCGCAATACTCCGCCGCTCCTCCAAAACTTTGATTCGGCCCCAACACAAAATCAACAACAAAATCAAAGGAGCTATACCGCAAAGAAAGAGTGTACGGTTGGAGTATAATCACACGGTTCCTTTCTCTCAAAACCCATTTTAAACTATGGAAATGAAAAATTTGAAATCACAAGATTTTCTTCTGCTTTGCTCTTTTAATGAAACTATGTGACTTTCGATGAATAATAATTAAAATTTCTAACCTTAACGGCTTCAAACCCTATTGATAGTTTTCGCTGTAATAACATGACTGCGAGTTAAAACTTTTATGTCATGACTTTCATAATATACCTATTCTTTTCTCATTTTTTTATTGATTTAATTTATTTACATTTTTTTCTAACGCATATAATTTTGAAGTCTCATGGTTTAATATTGATGAGTTGCTGTTCCCATTATCGACATTTGCATACTTATCGATTGATCGCTGCGTCGTTGAATATGTAAAACTTTACACACAACTTTAAACAATTCTCTTCGGAATATTGAACCGGATAGCGTAAATAAATAAAAACTAAATCGAAGTCACTTTGCATGTTAAGCAAGAGCAATCGAACATACCTCGAACAATGAGCCAGAAATGAAATATTGTTAACTATAACAGTAAACATGTTGTCTTGAGCTAATTTAAATGCATCCTTGTAGGAATTGCTTGTGAAAGTGCTGTACAAACGCTGAGTTGAAAGTGGTATCGTTGTGAAACTGATGCAGACAACCTGTATGAAGAAAGAACAGAGTGGAATACCGTCCATTTAAGACGCTCCAAATTCAAAGGTAAAGTACTATTCATTTTTGACTTAAAGATGCACCATTCGACACAGAATTTTACACCGGTCACGAATATCTTATTCAAAAAATTGTCAGTACACTTTTTCGACGAGAAAAATCGAAAAATTGAAAACTGTCATTCTTTCGAAAAATCGCAACTTTTTATAAAACATGTAATATCTCAGCTCCACAAGGTCGTAGAACCTTCGGAATACGGTTTTTGAAATTAGAGGAAAGAATTGCATATAGAACAATGTATTTCAAGGTTCCACACCCATGGGAAGTGCTCAATATCTCGTCAAACTTTAGAAGGCTTCGATTTCGATCCCCTTCGCTCGCAGACCTATCTCCTCCTGAGATAGAACCTTGATTCTTACGCCATTCGAACCGTCTTAAAACGTACAATAAAGTGGCGTATTCTTTTTTTATTTATTTTTTTTTTTTATGCCTGATTTTATGCCTGAGATATTAAATTTTTATTGAAAAGAAGCAGTTTTCATCTAGAAACGACCAAGTCATTTTTGAATAACTTTTTTAGTTTTTGTTAGATATTTTTTTATAATATACTGTTCGATCGCTTTTCAAATTCTCTACAAATTGAGCTAGTCAGAACGTCTAGACGGGTGGGTCTAGTCACTAAAGATATGCACAAGAATCGTTTGAGTGTTATATATTCAGTACAGCGTGGCACAATCATAAGAACTCCTTTCGTTTTGATTTTTCGCTAAAAGCTGGAACAAATCTGAATGCGGTTTTGAATAGCTAGAATAGTTTTCTATCACATGAGGCACATATCGCCATTTTATGAGACAACCTGATAACGGGGTTTCTGGAAAAATAAGATATTCGTGACCGGCGTAAAATTCTGCGTCGAATGGTGTATTTTTAAACCAAAAGTAAAAATAGTTGCTTTATCTTTGAATTTGGAGCGCCTTACCTGAAATACAAGCATGATCAGAAGTTGATTATCTGTTTTTCGTTTATTTCGGATGACTGCTGTTACCGCTGGTAACACTTGACTTCGTTGGTGTTTCACGTTAACCAAAGTCAGAAATCCAAAGACTAACATAATCAGCGGAGGTAACAAGCTGTAACATGCCATATGGTACAATGCATAAAATGTGCGATAGACTCCTTGTTGGCCGTTGCATGCGTTATTTTCAATGGTGAAATAAGCAAGCACATGACTGTACCCAATCATCAGTATAAAAAAGACAAGGATAATGAGACGATAAGTGGTGGATAAAGTACTGAATTTGCGTAAATAAGCATGTTTTGAGCTACAAAAATATCGATCGAGACTAGCGAATGCAATGAACCAGGATGACGCAGCTCGAAATAACGAAAATGAATATAATTCCACACGACACAAAGGAAGATTATAGAGAGCAGGATCGATGTTGAAACCAGCAGAAAGAATACGAGTAGGCAAGTTGACCAAAATAACAAATGCATTACAAAAATTCGAAGCCAAAAAGTAAATGGTACATGAATTAGTGCGTAGACTGGGTCGAGTGAGAATGAGAAAATTGAATACGAGACCCAGCGA